AGGAAGGAAGGAAGGAAGGAAGGAAGGAAGGAAGGAAGGAAGGAAGGAAAAATCACCCGGCTTTTCTAAGAAAAGCCCACCCTTTCCAACTTACAAAAACTTAACGTGCAAATCTGTCGCCCAAGTCTTTCCCAGAGGCAGTGGATTCTCAACCAGCCAACTTCCCAGTGTTTCTGGATAGAAGGGCCTCAGAACCGAAGGGGCGTAAACGAAAGGGAAAGTGAGACTGAAAAGCTGAGACCTGGGTTCCAGAATCCGCTCCCTCCGGCAACCAGTATAACCTGAGTCTGGCCCATACACGTCCCACTCATTTCTCTTCTGTTAAAAAGCGGTACCAGGCCAGGTCGGCGTGGCTCAGTGGTTGAGCGCTGACCTGTGATCCAGGAGGTCACAGTTTGACTCCCGGTCAGGGCACATGCCCGGGTTGTGGGCTTGATCCCCAGTAGGGGGCGTGCAGGAGGCAGCCCGTCAACACATTTTTTTTTAATTCTTAAAAAAGAAAAATAGCGGTGCCAGGGCAGCGACCGCCCCTGTCCTCCGTGATTCACAGAAGGACCTCGCCGAGCATCACAGGACACACACAAAGTCTTCCAGGAACTGCCAAGTACCATCGGCTACGTTAACTCAGGGAGCTGCTATTGCTAGTACACTGCACCGGAGACCCGCCTCCCAGAATAAACGTGAGGGTGCTAACGGTCCCGAGGCAAACGGGGAACTAGAACGGAGGCCTCCGAGGCTGTGCGTCTGAAGGGGGTGGATCCGTTCACGGAGCACATTATTCACTCACTGAGCAGGGATCATCTCAGGCCTGGCGGGAAGCGACGGATGTAGGAACGTGGGGCGTGTTCACGTGAGACGGGCCGACTCCTCCTAACAGGAGTGCGTTACCTTAATGAGGTCCTCCCTGGAGGAGAAACTTGAGACCAGGGAATTCTCTCGGGTCTTGGTGTTGGTGATGGACACATGCAGTCGGCTGTGGGCCAGCTCGTGAGCGTTGGGAGGGAGAATCGCCTCTATTCCACTTCTGGGGAAGAAAACAGGGCCTGTCACTCGCCTTTTTATTAGTATTATTTTCGTAACTCTCAGTCAAAGATATTTTTTTCCATTGATTTTTAGAGAGACAGTGGGAGGGAGGGAGGGAGGGAGGGAATCATCGACATGAGAGAGACACAGTGATTGGTGGCCTCCTGCACACACCCCATCCGGGGCAGGGGATCCATCCTGCAACCCAGCTGCATGCCCTTGACTGGGAATCGAACCCGAGACCCTCCGGTGCAGGGGCCGACGCTCTAAGAACTAAGCCACACCAGCCAGGTCTCGCCTTTTGTTCCTGAACACCTTGTAAATACCGGCAGAGCTGAGCTTGCACGGTTTATAGAGTCAACCGTCTTCACATGCTTTGGGGTATGTACTCTGTCCCACATACACACACACCTCAGTCGGGCCATGAAATCGTAGCCGGGGGTCACTGCCCCGAAAGACTGCCTTCGGATTTCTTCTGCAAACTTGTAGGTAAAGTCATTGCATTCCTGAAAAAGAAAATTAACAGGTGGCTCTAGGTTTTGTCAAAAAAACTCATTCTGGTTCCCGATGACACAGCACCTGGGCCCTGTGCACCCAATGCCGGTCTTCAGAGGCCACACCCCTTCACAGGTGAGCAAATCCCCCCCTGGCCTGGGCTTCACCCACCATTCTTGGTTCCCAAGCAAGCCATGTGTGTCCCAAATCCAACCATGTGTTTTTCTTTGCAAATCCCCTCACATGGCATTGCCCACACCTGCAGAGCTCTTGCGGGCTCGATCCGAATTCTAGCTGAGCACATTCTTCCAGGTTTTCTCCAACGCAGGAAACCTCCTGTCCTGCCCGATCCCATGGCCTTGGCAATAGTGCTGATTATTAACGACAGCACCATTATCAGAGAAAGAGTCGTGATGACTCTCCTTCGCCTGTACGGAGTCTGAGACTTTGGAGACCAGCCTTGGGCACTGGCATTTTGGGACCGTGTCCTACGGAGGCCTGATGGGCAGCGGAGACTGGGACCCACTCGCTCAGCCTCGGTCCGCTCATTGTCACATAACCGTTGCAGGTGAATACAATCACCCACGACGTAACGGGTAAGAAAACAGGCCTGAAGAGGTTAAATATCTTTCCTAATATCATCAAAGATGAGGGTCATCAGCCCGTGTACCAAGAGGCTGCCAGTTCCACTGCTGGTCAGGGCACAGGCCCCGGTTATGGGCTCGATCCCCAGTAAGGGGCGTGCAGGAGGCAGCCAGTCTCTGTTTCTCTCTCATCGATGTTTCTCTCTCTCTCTCACTCTCCCTTCCTCTCTCTCTAAAATCAACTTTAAAAAAAATTGGGAAAAAACAAAACAACAGCTATAAAAAAAGAGGGTCATAAGCAGGATTGGAACCCAGGCCTGTCCTTCACTCAGCAACCCGCCAGGCAAAAGGCACTGGGCTAGGCATGGGGATTGGGCGGAAACGAAACTCGGAGCCCCTGCCCAGTGGAGATTTGGGGTTGGCCCCAACGAGCAGGTCACACAGCATATTGTGAGAGCACCTGTGAGGGAGACAGAACCGAGCTCCCTGCTGCCCCTTACGATGCCCACATCCTAGTCCCCAGAACCTGGGGCTGTGTGACCTTACGTGGCAAAGGAGACTTTGCAGGTGTGATTAGTTACGGACCTCGGGATGGAGGGATGGTCCTGGTTACCCAGGTGGGCCCCATGTCATCATAGGCTCCCTATAAGTGAAAGAGGGAGGCAGGACAGCCAGAGTTAGAGATGCTGTGGTATTTCAAGGTGCAGGAGGGACCGTGAGCCAGGCAATGCGGGCACCTCTTAGAAACTGGAAGAGGCGGGAGTGAGATGGTCCCCTCGGGGCCTGCAGAGGGAGGGAGCGTGGCCCTGCTGGCACTTTGATTTCAGCTCCTCAAGACCTCTGCAGACCGGTAACCTCCAGAATGATAACAGAATAAGCATGCGCTGTGCTGAGCCCCTAGGCCTGGGGTCATTTGCCGCAGCAGCAACAGGAAACCGTGGGCATAAACCTCCAACGTCAGGGGCCGCCCAAGGCTTCCCTCCAACCTCACATCGACGCTGCGGCCTCAGACAGGAATAGGAGGGGAGTTGGAGAGGAGATGGAGGTGTTAGGACGACAGGCGAGGACAAGAGTGACAACCTCCCAGAGAGGGTGGAGTCCCCAGAGGGGGGGGGAGAGAGACACATTGATTGGCTGCCAACTGCACACACCCTGACCGGGCCTGGGGATCGGACCTGCAACCCAGGTATGTGCCCTTAACTGGGAATCGAACCCAAGACCCTACAATATGCAGGCTGACGCTCCAACCACTGAGTCAAATGGGCCAAGGCTATTTTCTTGTAATTAATTCCAGTAACATACACACCCCTGGTTAGGGAATGGGCTTCCTCGCCCATGCATTACCCACTGTCTAGCGCCAGCCCTTGCAAAGCACGAGGGCTGGGGAAAGTCTTGCCGGGCAAGCTCTTAACATCCCAACGTCTAGATCTGCCTCCTGCCCAAAATACCCCGGCGGGCGTCAGGTGCTCCTCTGAATTATGCATGCATAGCTCAGGCCTAGATTAATTACTCCCCTATTTGTCACAACACCACAAGCGTGAGGAACTTACACCACCCTCCAGAACAGAGCTGACGGGGAGTGGAGTGGGTGGAAAACAGTTGGCTCAAAAAAACTCAAAGCCATCCCACAAGTGCTATGTCTCAAATGCTAAAGAGAAATTAAGCCACGTGGCTGAACATTGACTTTGCAGAAGGAGAAGTGAGGACGCCCTCGGTAAATAAAGAGGAGCATCCTCCGGCAGCCTCCCACGTGAGCAGCAGGACAGACGTACTCTTAGGCGGTGCCGGCACAATTAGACCGTACAACCGGGTCTCCGATGGACTGAGGGAGAAACAGCAGGTAATGTGATTTGAACCTGTGGTGATTCGAGTCCCAAATCCAGGTAAAGCATTCGACGTCCGACCATCACAGAATTTCAGGTAAGTGGGTGGCTGTGTTATTACAGTATTTCCAGATCATGTTAATCCTAAATCACACCTAATACATCTATAAGTCGGCTGAAGATCCGAAACCGTGTCGACCCACCTCCAAGGCTCAGCGTCTGCCCCACCTAAATGAAAGACTGCACTACAGGGGAGGAAATGACCCCTCAGTAGCCCGAGTTTCAAAAAGAAAACAAAGTTGGGGCCCAGCCAGCGTGGCTCAGTGGTGGAGAGTTGACCCATGAACCAGGAGGTCACGGTTCGAATCCCGGTCAGGGCACACGCCCGGGTTGCGGGCTCCGTCCCCAGTAAGGGGCGTGCAGGAGGCAGCCGATCCGTGACTCTCATCATTAATGTTTCTCTCTCTCCCTCTCCCTTCCTCTTTCTGAAATCAATAAAAACATTTAAAAAAAAAAAAAGAAAATGTAAATGTGACTTAAATCCATTCTTGGGTATGAATGTATTAATCATTACTTGATTACGGTTCAGAGCCACGGAAGTATGGAAGTAATTAACAAATAAAAGGCTCTCCACCTACAGCAGCCGGCTCTCAAAGTCGGCAAATGCATAATCCCTGTCTAGCAGCAGAGCAGAGATTTTTAAAGCATAAATTGCATTAAGTGAAATACATAATGAAGGCTTGTTTCTATTATTTCTGCATAAACCGCTTGGAATTCAGGGCTTCTTCGTTACTGTGAGAATGAAAAACAAATTAAACTCTAATATCATCCCACGCCATAGAAACTGCAGGTCCCCATTTCGGTGGGTAACGTGAGCAGCTATGAGCAGGGTCATCCGCCACGTGCTCAAGGCCTTGAAAATGGGCCCTGGGCTCTTCTCGTGATGCCCATAAGAAAGAAACAGGGCTGAAATCTTAAGACAAAACAAATATATAAGAGCAAAACAATGCACGATAGTTTCTGTCTCACTGTCACCCAAGAATAATCTTTTCCAAATCCTAATGATTACATTTCATAAGACAGATTTTAACGTTTTCCGTTTCCCAGGCAAAGGGTTATTTCTCTGCCGTTAACGTTAACACTCATCTCTGCTGTTCGGTCTTAATCTCTTGCCGAGGATCACAGCCTCGTTGTTGCTTAATTACCTCTATTTTTTCTGGTGCTGTTAGCAGGACAGAAGCAACCAAGGATCCTGCAGACGCCCCGGCAAAGGCCTTGACATGCTCCAGGAGTTTCTGGCCGTGTTTGCAGAAGGCCGACGCTGCCCCCAAGTGGTAAATGCCCAGAAACCCACAGGCTGCAAAGGACAAGTTGATGTGCTTCATTCCAGCTGCGAAATTGGCCACACACACACAAAAAACAAACACAGAAAAGCTCTAAATTGGTACCATTTGTGCTCCTCGTGATTCCAAGCCTTTTAACAGGTAATGCTTTGTTCTACGCACAGTTTTTTTTCCCATTAAAGTCTAATCAAACGCCCCAGTCTTTCAAGGAAACCTTTTCTCTCTCCCTCTTTCACCTTGACCCAAAGTTTTATTAATTTTTTTAAAAATTTCGACATCTCATATTTGCTCAGTAGATTATGCAACGTGCTGAACACACATGCAGGTTATTCATGAGGTTATGCAACCCACTACTTGATTCCTTGGTAGGAAACAGGTGGGCAGATTCCAGCTGGCCAGGCATGTGGCCTTTTTTCCCTGGGCCTTTGGAAATTTTTGGGGGGGGGCAATGCCCCACTGTGGACGCGTAAAATCTACGAGACTCCAGCAAACCCCCGATGATCCACACATTTGGCATCTGCAAGTGCATCAGCCAATTGCAAAGGCAGGCCCCTGGCCCCCTCGCCTCCCATTTGCATTTGGAGCATCCATCGTTTCTTTAAATAACAACCAAAAAACTGGAGCCCACAGCAGCCCAGTTTCTTAGGACCGTCTGAGGTCATGACCCCCAGGGCCCTGGAGACTCAAGGAAATGTCTGCACCCCCTGAAACCTGCAAGAAATGTAACGATAAACCGCCGTGGGCTCAGGCCTCCGTGGGCAGGGCCCCCACGCGGGTGAAATCGCGCCCCCACAATGCTGCGCGCTGGGCGGCCTGCAGGGCTTCCCCGGGACCCCAATTCCGAGGCCACGGTAAGAGGCGCGGGGCCCAGGCCTCACATTCGGGGGCCGGGAGCCTCTGCGCTGACGCACCCGCTGGGCCCCGTGCGGGCGGGAGCTGCAGCTGAGCCGCAGGTTCGGTTTAATTTCTGCAGATCGTGGGGTGAGGGACCCGGGGCTCAGCCTCCGCAGCGCGCAGGCGCAGAGGCCCCCGCGGCCCGCAGGAGACAGACCCGGGGGGGCCGCCAGACCAGGCCCCGGGCGACCTTACAGACCCCGCGAGTCACCAAGGCAACCGCTAGGGAGCCAAGCACGCCCCCCGCCCGCACCCCGCCCGCCCTACCAAGGCGGGCCCCAGGCGCTTCCGCGTCCGGAACCGGAAGGCGGG